TCTTCACTCAAATACTGCGCCAAATTCTATAAAATATTTTTTGAAGAGTAGTCTCACGCTCTCTCTCTCGATAAGGTACCGAATTGGATGAATGACGACAATTAAATACAGATACACCTCGGGTTACATTATGCGTCATTTCATATCTTACTAAATTTTACTATTTTTTCTGCAGAATATTAAAATGAAACATGCTTACTTTTAAGCTAAATAGATTCTCATCAACCTCATATTACTAAAAAATTAACTTATAAATGATTTACGCGACTGGTAATACAAAAAAAGCACAAAAAAATCACTACAGAGACAAGTAGTTCCGACTGAACGGGATATTTTTGTCCTAATCGTCTCCTCTCAAAGCAGATACCCAGCTGACAATGAGGTGAGGTACACCTGTATGCTTATGAGGGAAACGGTCATGTGCTCGGAACTCAATAATAATCGCTCGCCGAATTTCTCTGTTTAATTACATCAGCCATTCGCTGGTTTGACTGTTTTCCGCAAAATTTGCCCCACCATTGAATTCACACACATTTTTCAGTTTTTCATTTTTTTCCAGAAACCGGAAAGTGTACAATCGGAAAATTCAGCACAATCAATCCGTTGGTAAATGCGATTCAAATTGGCATTTTTGGGAAAATTCAGGAGGATTCAGTGCAATTTTCTTGATAGAACGCAATCGCCATAGGCATACCCGTTCACGATTCTGATAAATCCTCTCTTTGTCTTGTAAATTCAGCTCGAACTGTTGCCGTAGATGTTGAATCTCAGCTTTAAGTTGCTCACATTGGAAACGATACTCCTCACTCCTGAAAAACGCAAAATTCATTTTTTTTTTTAAATTGATTTCTAATTTTTTTCCATTTTTTCAACAACACAAAAAAATTGAATTCAGCTACCAATAACTCCCCGAAGTTGCAGCTACGAATTTTTCGAAAAGTGAACAATTCAAACCCTATCGTCATCCTCATTTCCGATCAAATCAGTACCGCGACAACACATGAATTTGATCGGAACGTGTGATCGGAATTTTGATCGATTGATTTTTTGATCGATTTTAAAGCGATTGACTGAACAAATGCATGATTTTCGCCAAAAAAAATTGTCAGTTTAACGGATCAATGCGATATTCTGACGAAAAAACTCCCGAAAAAAGAGACATTTGCACTTAAAACTGTAGCAATATGGCGCCACTCNACGGATCAATGCGATATTCTAACAAATAAACTCCCGAAAAAAGAGACATTTGCACGTAAAACTGTAGCGATATGGCGCCACTCTACGTCTGATCAAAACAGATCTGTGGCAAATCACAAAAATCGATTGCAAACCTGCGCGTTTCGGCATCCAACCGTGCGCTCATCTCATAGTCAATCGCATGCATTGCTGCGGTTTCTGGTGCCCATTTCGCCGACGGCGCCAAATCCTCTGTGGGCACCACAATGCTGAATGCGACGCTTTCAGCTGAGTGTTGCTGTGCTGCCGATGATGAGGTGGTAATATGCGATTCAATATCTGCTATTCGACGTCTATAGTCCTCAACCTGAATGCAAGCTGTACGGCTCAAGAATCTCGAGATTGAACGATGATACTGGCATAAATCTATGATCTCGTGTTTATTGTTTATGGTCTCTTGTATGTCTGTCTATAAAGCTTTGCGTGGCATGTATTCCCCGACCACCGTTGGCAACTCGTGACCAGCTAATCCCAATGACTATATAAATAGTCAGTCATTGTCTTAATGTACCAATGTCAGTCGGTGTGCTGTTAGCGTAGTCAGAGCTGTCACTCGTAGTTATTTTGTACTCACCATCGTCAGCATCTTTCGA